CCCATATTGAGCCCAAATCAGTAAGGCAGGCTCTCTCTTCTCCTCCTTGGTATGCAGCAATGCAGACTGAATATAATGCACTACTTGCAAACAAAACTTGGACTCTTGTGCCTCTTCCTCCAGGAAAACAGGAAATTGGTTGTAAATGGGTATTCAGAATCAAGGAAAATTCAGATGGGTCTATCAATAAGTTTAAAGCCAGGTTGGTTGCCAAAGGCTTTCATCAAAAGTTTGGGTTTGACTTTGGAGAAACATTTTCTCCAGTAGTCAAACCTGTTACTATCAGGATCCTTCTCACTCTTGCTGTTTCTCACCATTGGTCTATACAACAATTAGATGTTAACAATGCATTCCTCAATGGGGAACTTGAGGAAGAAGTGTACATGACACAACCTCCAGGTTTTCAAGCTCAGGACACCTCTCTTGTTTGCAGGCTACATAAATCATTATATGGCCTCAAACAAGCTCCAAGGGCCTGGTTTCAAAAACTTACTTCAGTTTTGTATAATGCTGGTTTCAAACAAAGCAAACGTGATCCCTCCTTACTCATCTATCTCACTTCTGGAATACAAATCTATATTTTAATCTATGTGGATGACATTCTTGTCATAGGAAACAGTTCTAATGTGATTAGCCAGATCATTCAGCACCTCAATTCTTCTTTTTCTCTCAAACATCTGGGAGATATAGATTTCTTTCTGGGAATTGAAGTTAGAAAACTTTCTGATGGCTGTCTTCATCTATCTCAATCAAAATACGTCAGAGATCTTCTTCACAAGGTTGGGATGACAGATTCCAAAGGTGTCAAAACACCCATGATAAGTAATTGCAAACTTACCATCGAAGGGTCTGATTACCTCCCTGATCCTTCTCAATACAGATCTGTGGTTGGCACTTTGCAATATGCCAGCAACTCTTACAAGACCAGAACTCAGCTATGCTGTAAACAAAGTCTGCCAGTTCATGGCTAATCCTCTGCAAGAGCACTGGAAGGCTGTGAAACATATTCTGAGGTATCTATCTGGCACCATCAATCATGGACTGATTATCAAGCCCCTTCCATTATCTCAGATTCCTCTTCCTATATTTGCCTTCTGTGATGCTGATTGGGCATCAGACCCTGTTGATAGAAAGTCTACCTCTGGATCATGTATCTTCTTAGGCCCAAATATTGTTTCTTGGTGGTCTAGAAAACAACCAAGGGTGGCAAGATCATCAGCAGAAGCTGAATATAGAAGTCTGGCAGATACTACTTCAGAAGTTTTGTGGATTCAATTCTTACTCCAAGAACTTCATGCTTCATTCTCCACTCCCAGAATCTACTGTGACAATCTCAGCACAGTCCAACTTGCACATAATCCTATACTCCATTCCAGAATCAAGCATATGGAACTTGATCTGTTTTTTGTGCGAGAGAAAGTCACACTCAAGCAACTTGAAGTCTTGCATATTCCAGCCTCCCAACAAATTGCAGATGTGCTGACCAAGCCTCTATCTGCTTCCACTTTTCTTGGCTTTAGAAACAAACTGAATGTGATTGATTTTCCAAAACAATCATCTTCAGTTTGAGGGGGGAATGTTAGCTGTAATAAATACTCATGTACTGTTTGTTAAGGGATTCTGTTAGATCCGGTAGTTAGTTGCTTGACTTCTATATTGTATAAATACTCTGTAATGACTCTTTCTCATCTATGATGATTCACTTTCTAATTCTATCTGCTTAGTTTCTATTAATTCGCAGAATTTTTGGGGCTTAGCTCCCCGAAAAAACGAATAGTTTGCAAAAACACAGTATGAATATTTCCCAATTCATGATCTTCTACCCCCAAATTTAGTGCAGTTGACCGTTAAATAAATGTAGTCTCACGTGGAGTGACTGTGGGGGACTTAGCGACAATGTGAAAGTTCAAACTTGATTGGAACTAATTAGTGGCTGTTTTACTCCCCCTCCCCAAACCTTTGGGAGTTCACAATGAGAGTTCATTTCATAATATTTTTCCCATTGACGATCTTCTACCCCAAACTTAGTTCAGCAGACCGTTTAATCAATGTCTAGTCTCACCGCTTTCACGTCAAGTAGCTGTGGGGGACTTAGCGACAATGTGAAAGTTCAAACTTGATTGGAACTAATTATTGGTGGTTTTATCTCCCTCCCAACCCTTTGAGAGTCCACAATGAAAGTTCATATCATAAAAGCTTTATTTGAGACTACAGCTAAAAGTTAAAGTTATGCTTGTGGCCTTGTGGGGGTATATTTACTTCTTTATTCAAAATTTCATAAGTATAGTGATCCTTTGACTCATATGCAATAATTACTTGCAGAGTAGTGTTTCAGGGTTAAATAGAGGACTAGCAGCAAGTGATGATGATCTAAGGAAGGCAGATGATGCTGCCAAGGCACTTGAAGAGGCTGGAGGGCCTGTAGACCTCCAAGGTGATGCTGATATACTGCAAGGAAGATGGAAACTAATTTATAGCAGTGCTTTCTCATCTCGTACTCTGGGTGGAAGTCGCCCTGGTCCCCCTTTAGGAAGGCTACTTCCGATAACTCTTGGTCAGGTATCCTAAAATAATATCATTCCAATAAAAAATATATCTGTCATTCATCAGGAATGGTTCACTTTTTGCATGTTATGATCAGAAAGGATCTTACATTTGCATTATAAAATCTTTGCTAAACAGATGTTTCAAAGAATTGACGTGTTTAGCAGGGATTTTGAAAACATAGTCGATCTTGAGTTAGGCGCGCCTTGGCCTTTCCCACCTATTGAAGTGACAGCAACTTTGGCTCACAAATTTGAAATTATAGGTCAGTCCTGCTCAAATATTTAAGTATATAAACTCCTGAAGTTAACCTACCCCTCTTATTAGGTTAACTTTTAAAGATTGACCATTTTAACTCAAGATAGTATAGAAGCCCATAAAGTTCAAATAGCAACTCGCTCCACTTCAACTAATAAAGAATACATGGATTTTAAGATTGGTATGTTCCAACAAACTATTACTCCGTATCTTAGAGAGGCATAACTCTGTTGCCATATATGAACTATTCCTCCTACTAAATCAACTTTTTAGGATAGCTCATGCAGTCTTAGAGCTCATAAGCTCCAACGAGCAACTCGATCCAACTTAGACTGAAAAAAGACTCATGAACTTTGATATTGGTTTATTCTTATGGTGGAGGCATAATATTGTCCACGTATAAGATGATGACCTTAGGGTAGAACATTTAAGGTCATAAGTGTTCTTGAACTAGCATGTTTTGTGCGTGTCACCAGGAACATCCAGGATCAAGATTTTATATGAGAAGACTACAGTAAAGACATCAGGAAACTTATCACAACTACCACCATTGGAGGTGCCCCAAGTACCAGATGTGATCAGGCCACCATCAAGTCGAAGGAACGGCGATTTTGATGTTGTATATATCGATTCTGATATGCGTGTTACAAGGGGTGATAGGGGGGAGCTACGGGTATTTGTCATCTCATAGATTTGAGGCAACTAACACTTCTTGTGGATTTTTCCTAAACAGTTTAATGTCAATCGTCAAATGTATAGTGATGCACTTGGGTTCATAGGAAGAGCAAATAAACATTGCCACGTGAATTCAGCAACCCGTATTGCACATTTGAGTTTTGGCTTTTCATAGGGTCTCAATTCATATTCTATAATGAGTGTTCCTGTTATAGTGTGTTTCATTACATTGATAGTTTGCACGTCCTAGAAAAGCATAATGCTTCGCAACAATGGTACTCACAATGTCTCATAATGGTAACTGTTTGTGGTATAAGACCATGGAGTTGAAGTGTTGAACACCATAGCAATTGTGAGCACAACATAGTAGTTTAACTCTTACGGAGTATATGAGTGTGATTGTTTTATTCATAAAATATGACTCATTGTCATACTTTATTCATGTTTTACTCTTACTTCAAGCAAATTTTTAGATTATTCTCCAAACTTTTGACAACATTTTATTCATTGGATGCATCTAAAATGTAAAACTTGCGGCTGAGTTACATTTGAACACTACAACTAATCATCTTACTTAAAATTTCAAGAAATTCTATAACACTACTGCCACTGCAAAACTAAATTTAAAATTTATAACTAGAACAAGGTGTAAACTTGTAAATAAAGGTCAAAAGTTTAATTAATAAAATATTCATGCATTTTGAATAATAAAAAACAAAAGCCTCTCTTATAAAAAGAACAAAAAAATGTAACACATACTCCTTCCGTCTCATTCTAAGGTTTCCACTTTCTTTTTTGGACATCCTGTATAAAAGTTTTCATTTTTATTAAGGAAACAATTGATATTCTTAAATGACAATTTAATTATGAAATATTAAAATTAATGCATCCTTAACATCACAATCATCATGCATTATATTGTATATGTTCTTCAAAATTATTTTCTCAAAATATACTTGAATTATTTTATTTAATTATTTTCTAAATAATTGTATCACTTTACACTGGGAACCAGTAAACGGGACAGAGATGGAGGCCGTTTGGTAACACCGTTTTTCGGCCTATCAGACTCGTCAGCCAACATTTTCACCAAACACGTAATGTTTGTTTTTGCGCGCTGAATTGTGTAATAATAAGAAAAGTTAAGGTTCGAGTTACTTTTCAGGTTGTATTGACTGAAGTTACTGTAGATGACCATTTTAACTATTCTTACATGAACTTTTTTCTTTATTTTATTAATAAAATATATTTTAAAAATAATTTTTTCTTAAATCAGAAGAATCATCCAGTGCGGCCACTTCAACAAGAAATTCATAAATTTCAGTAGAATCAACCGAATGAGCCGATTTTCATATTACCAAACCGGCTCATAGTATCTTAATTCCTACCATATTTGTAACCATAACAATTACACACTTGGCCTCTAGTCTAAAATGGAGCCCCTCATTTTAGCAAACTCCAAACGGATCACAGCCTTCAAAACCAAATTTTCACAAACATTTACTCCGCACTATAAATCAATTAAATAAATGGTCAAAAGCTCCCCTTCTGTGCGGTGGCCGGCCTATCCTCTCGAGAGGGTAGATCCAGGCCATCATATCCATTTCCTTCCTCTCAGATTCACCAACTTCCTTGTATTTCTATCCCTATTTCATTGATGCAACCTTCCGCCGTCGTCCCATTCTCGGAGGACGGCGATTCCGTAATCTCCTCCTCCTCCATCCACCGCCCGCCACCACGGTTTCTGCACATGAAGGTCGCAGGTTGGGATTGAATTGAAGGATTACAAGGAAAAAACAAACCAAAACTTCAAAAATGGCGATGATGAAACCGTTTCAACTCCTCGAAATTAACATAATCTCCGCCCAGGATTTGGAACAGGCGTCGAAGAAGATGCGAACGTACGCCACCGTGTGCCTCAACCCGACGCGCCGTCTCACCACCGCCGTGGACTACGACGGGTGCAACAACCCTACGTGGAACGACAAATTCGTGTTTCGCGTGGACGACGAGTTCCTCCAGCGGGACACCTCTGCCGTCCAAATTGAGATTTTCTCCGTCCGGTGGTTCCGCGACTCTCTCGTCGGCACCGTTCGTTTCCTCGTCGGTAACCTCTTCCCTCCTCCGCCGGCTCGAGGTCACCGTCAAAATTTTGGCATGCGTTTCGTTGCCCTTCAGGTGCGTCTCTGTCATCCTTCCCGCTTCAAAATCAAACCTCTCTTAAAAAAGCGGGTGCAAGTGTTTTAATTGCCACATTAGTCCCTAAAAGAAATTAATTAATCTTATTCCAATACTTCCTCCGTTCTTTTTTAGTTGCAACAGTCAACATTTCACATTTGTCAATGCACATCTTTGACCGTAATTATATCTTCATCTCTATTAGTAAAAAAATAATTAAAAATTCGATTTTGAAACTTTGTAATGAGATGAATTGAACAATGTCTTTTTTTAAAAATAATTTTCATTAAATAATAATGTAAAATGTAGTCAAAGTAGATTATGTGAATAGTGTAAAATTCAACATGTTGCGATTAAAAAGAAACGAAACGGAGGATAGTATTATGCATCACTTTAGTCATAATGAATTATCAAATATTACACAGTAACAATATGTAAGTTACAATCTAAAAATAGAATACCTCACTTTTGACATAAAAAAAGGTTTTATAATGATAAGATCCGAATTTCATTAAGATCATATGCATGTAGATTATTTGATGTTGGAAATGGAAATCTGAAAACTTGTGTATGACGCGTAACGCAATTAAAGATGTTAAATTATGATAACACAATTTACAACATTCAATTCAGCTCGATTATATTTCTATAAGGGGCTAAAGTTAAGCCTTTCTACCAACTACTTTATACAGAGTAAATGAGTAATGAATTATTCCTTTTTTAGAAATGAGTTAATCAGAGCAAAGATGAATCATAAACAAGTTGAGTTAAGATTGCAAATACAATCAATTTCAAACAGTCAAACCTGCTTCACATGCACATACTTTCGACTCATTAATGTTGCATTTTAGTATCTAACTTCGGAGAAACCACACCAACGAAATGTTGCATTTATTCATAATCATAATTTCATAAAGAAATTTGTTAAATTTGGTCAACTACGTACGGAGTATTTTCTAGTAGTTGACAAAACGTCTAGAGACTTTTTATTTGACTAGCAATGGGCGGATGATATCGAAAACCGAAAATCGAATTGACAAACTCAACAACAAGCAAAATAAATTGAGTTGCAATAAAACCACAAGGTAACTCATTAAACCGAAATGAACCAAACTAAACTTTTTAAAATATGCCATTTTATTTATTAATCATCAGAAATGATATTTTGTTAGTTTTTAAAAAATTGTTAGTTCTTAATTCTTAATTCTAGAAAGTTAATGTATTTTATTACTTACTCTGTATATTTTAGTTAAAACATTTGCATTGTCACGTTAATTACATGCTTCTAAAACATTCCCAATGTCAAATACCTCACATCTACTAGTATCTCTTACAGATTATTCATGCATGCATATTTACATCTTTAGATAATAACATTTATATAAAAATGTAACACGATTTACACAAATAGTTAGATACTAGTATAATTTAATGGTACTTGTACATTAGGGCTTAATGTATTTTTATTATCTTTGTGTATAACAATAATTGCTGGATGTCTGCAGGTTCGGCGTCCGTCTGGACGTCCCCAAGGGATATTAAACATTGGTGTGGCATTACTGGATAGCTCAATGAGGAGCATGCCATTGTACAGACAAATGAGCATGTCAGCCGTCGGATTCCGAGATCTCCTGACGGACGACCATCTTCCGCTGCACAACAACCCCGCCACCACCCACCCGGTGCTGCGGCGCATGAAAAGCGAGCGCAGCACCCTCGTGTCTTACGATGACATCTCCGTCAACAACAGCTCCTTAGTCGCAATCCCTTCCAAAAAGAACAAGCAGGCCTTCACAGAGAAGGAAAGCTCCATACTCAGCATCTCTTTCGTGCCGCCACCGCCGCTTCCTCCACCGCCATCGATCAAGGCGTCAAGTAACAAGAAGATAGGGAAGGCTAGTTCCGTGATCAGCGGCGCGGAGCTCAAGGAAGACAAGACGAAGCCAAAACGTAGGAAGGCGAGTTCCGTTTTAAGCGATTCTATTATGAGCAGAGAATCACATCTATTGGCTAAATTGAAAGATGAAGAGTCCCCTGCGAATAATAATAATAGCAACAATGACATTGGGCCAAGTGAGAAGACTGCCAACGACAAGCCCAACGGGCCAGGAGTTAATAGTAAACTCGGCGAGTCTCCACCGATGCCAATTTCGAAGCCCATTAAGACATCCAACGGCCCAACGGGTAAGTATGGTTTCATTGGAGGGCCGTGGAAGGGAAACTCGATGCTGTCGGACTCAGAAGTTGGGCCATCACCGTCAGAGGTGGCGGCGGCGATGGCCGAGCGGAGGTACCCGTTGGAGCCGGAGGGGAGCTCGGTGTTGGACGGGTGGAGCGCTGACGAGAGCGTGGAAGGACTGCGGTCGAAGTTGGAGCGGTGGCGGGCAGAGCTGCCGCCGTTGTACGATCGAGGGTACGCCAGCAGCAGCTTCCAGTCGAGCAGCTACCACATGCGGCGGCACAGTGAAAACGGCGCAGCTGACGGCAGGTTTTCCTGTTTCGGGAACATATTCGGGTACGAATGCGAGTGCGTTTGCGGGCAGCCTCCGCCGCAAAGGAGCAAGAACTACTTGTACAAAAGCCCATCAGTCGGCAGTTTCCTTTGAATGAATTTCAACCCACTAAATGTCTCCATCCTGGACGGCCCACTTCAAAATGGTACATATTTGTAGCCTTGTAATAGTCTAATCCCTCGTTCATCCATTCCCTACCACAGTTATAACAAGTATATGTCCAGTAAGATACACAAATAACAAATATTTATCATCATTCTTGTTGTATAGTCAATGATGGAAGGTGTAATACGCACACGTTTGTTGGGTGCACACTTTTGATGTGTTAGTCACTCTCTTTTAGCTTTTTTGTTCCATTTAAGTATGTGAATGAATTTTGAAAGAAAGAAAAACATTAATTTCCCATTTATTGTGTATGTGTATTATATGAAAATTACATGGTGAGATGACTTTGTAATTAAATGTATGTAACAAGTTGAAGAGGGAGTATCAAATATTAGTTCAAAGCTCACATAATACAATAAGCAATTTGCCTTGGAAGTTGGAACTACAGCCATTAGGTTAACAATCTAGAGTCATGAAAAACTTTAATGGTTTATAGATTGTGCACTTTTTCGGTTTTTCCTAATGGGCGTGACAGTATTCTTGCTTTGGATTGTGTTAGCCTCTTCCTTTGTGTAGTGATTTAAAGGGACTATGAACATCAAAAGCGATGAACTGTTCTGAAATGGAAATAGTAACATATAGCTATCAATCTGACAAGGTATTATTGAGTAGACAAAATAGAATTCATACCCCCCCCCCCCCCACTGCTAATTGGGGGACACGAGTAGAAGAAAATGGGAAAAACTTAAAAAGGTGACGGGCTGGTCCATAGAAATCCGAAGTATAAACTGTATTCTGTTTCTATAAGGGTGGATGAGTTGATTTCGGATTTCCCCAAAAACTGTGAAAATTGAAAAGGGGATCTTATAAAAAGGAGTTGGAAAGGCCCATGTATGGATTGGATCAGCTATCAGGATCCAAATCGAAAGAGTAGACCAGCCAGAGCATCATGCAGACACGGTAAAAGGGAGGACATTAAAAGTTTTATCCTGCTTATGACAGAGTAGTTGCATACAATTTATGTACATAACCTTAAGCAAATCCTACCATCTACATATCTATATACCCATATATATATACGAGACTAGTTCAAAAGGTCCCCTTTTCTAGAGAATCACGAGACATGTTTCTTGAAGGCATCAGTAATACCTGCATAGTCAGAATAATAATTACGTTAAGTGTATTTAAGCGTCGAGCGGTTAAGACAAAGTGTTGTACAGTGCACAATTATGTATGCAGTCACCAAAATTTCAGCCATCACATCCCTTCTCATCTGCATGGAGAAAAATAGCCCAATGCATGAGAAAACACAACTCATTAAAAATTACTCCCTCCGTCACCGAAAGAAGTTCCCACTTTCCTTATTTGGATGTCCCTAATTTAAGTTCTCATTTCCTTAAATGGAAAGTTATCCACATCAAACCAGTGCCAAACAGTGTCGAAACAGTAAAATTTACCCCCTAGTAAGTTTACTTGCAGAAAAGTGTGTGAAAGTCAAATGGGAAACTTCTTTCCCGGACGGAGGGAGTACTTCATTGACTTCCATCATGGAAGGACAAAAAAGTTTAGCTAACATTTTAAGCATGTGTGCCAGGTGATTTACCTTTATGTTAATGCTAACAGTATTAGCCATCATGCAAAAGATAGTTAAAAAACAACCCAAGGCAATGTGTAATATTTCTGAACATCTAAGTAGCCAACACTTGAACCACCATCAATAAAAACAAAAACAACAATACGAGACAATTTCATCCAAAAAAAACAACAATACGAGACAAAAAACATGCAAAACTTGAGATTGCCCAACCAAGTAAATGCACCAAAGCTGGAACCCAAAATAGCAAGGATTACTTATATCCCTTAAATTGAAGCACCTTCTCAGTCTCATGAATTGCAACATTTTTTTAAAGTAAAAGAGACAACCCATTCAGAAATTAAACAGAGTTATATAAAGAAAGCTACATGAACGCTTCAATTTCAAAAAATAAGGAACACCATGAGACTGAGAAGGTGAACTATCATTTGAGAGTGCATATCTTGCTATATGTGCTTCTATTTAAAGTGTTTCTTATAAAAAAAATAAGAAACATCATGTTTTTCATTATCTAATGAAGGACCAGAATACAATTCAGGGCAAACAGCTACTGAGCAACTAAATACTCTCTTTGCAAGATCCATTCACTTTATTTTTTCCATTTACAAAAATTGCCCAAAATAATAATCTGGATCTTAAATATTTTGTCATGTCAGAGAAAGGGTTCAAAACATACTTGTTGAAACTTAGACCTTGAAACTTACTACTTTGTACTAACCTAATCTGTGACAAAAAAAATGGATAGTCAGGATAATGGCATGTCTTCGTCTTGTTTGGTGTTTTGGTTGAACTCTAAATACAATTTGCTAGTGAACAGTAAAACATGTCATTTTCAATTTATAAATGACACTTTCCTTCTTGCATACATACATCTACACTCTCCAGTAGCCAAGTAACAGAAATAATATAGGCGAGATGCAACACATAGGGTACAGATACTGCACATGCTGACTGCCCTACTTGTTGATAACATTGTAACCTAATATAATTAAAATTTGAATATTACATATGGCAAATGAAATGTCTGCACCCATGATGAGGATGCTGATGATGATATTATACATAATGCTATCTATCCTTGATGAAAGATGCATTAAAGTTAGCTGACATCTGAAATCTTCACCTCCTGGCAGTGGCCAGTATTCAAAGATAGGCACCAATAAAGGATGTAATTTGGCATTCTATTGTCCCAAGCTATAAACAAAACACTTTCCATGAGTCCTGAGACATCAAACCGTACTTGATTTCATTCACGAAAATCCCTAAGAGTAATCTCTTTTTTAAAATCAAACATGACCACATTGAGCATGGCCATATAATATCATTTAATACTACAACCAACCCAAAACAGAAAACAAAGTGTTAAGGTATATACAATATAATGCAATTATAGACAGGTAGCCAGTAATGGCATTACTTATACTCCGTCTTCTGTAAATGAAATGAAAGTAATAATACTAGGACCAAGAAATTAGTGATAATTAGAGGTGAAACTTTTACCACTAATATATTTAAGTTATACTCATCGTTTACCTCTGTGTGTAATGCTACAGAATTTCATGTATTAAGCATGCAGTAATGCATGCCTCCTTGCTATATATCAACGTGGTTCTTTGATATATAAAATGTTAACAATAAGATTTCAATCTCTTAGACGTTAAAAATGAACATGTGTCTTACACTGACCACTGATTTCAAGCATAGACATTGAGGTAACAGGCTAACAGCACAGGAGCACAACTAAACCAACCAAAAACGTTTTCATTTTTTTTATTTAGAACTCCCCACCATGACCATCAGGATTGTGGACTATGACAGAAAACTCCAGCATCTGCATTGTTTACTTCAAAAACCCATACACCTTAGCATCAGCATAGGCAGCTGTTTGAAGAATCCCACAGATTATTACATCTATAGGTAACCACTTTCATGACTTTGCAGTCTGTCGTTAGTACAGCATTTGAACTTTCAGTTTTGATTGGGCTTAGCGTTGAATGGGAGTAAAGGTAGAGAAACAAAGCATATTCAGTAGGCCTTCCCCAACGCTGCTTTCTTCTATTTCGAGATTAGAGCGCACAATAGCCAGCACATGGAAATCCTAATTTTCAATTATTCAACCATGATAGGTGGTCTGCGTGACAATGATGAAGATTCTTATTTCCCAGCTTATCTGTTACCAGAACGAAGAGAAAATAAAGAAAGGATTGTTTTTAAGAAAATAGCTAAGCCAACCCCACCATCAGGATGCCAACAATCCAACTTTCTAGTCCTGTATTCTTACAAGCTTCACGAACAGTACATTAATCTTTCTTCTGCCTATGTTATTGTTAAGGGCAGACGTACAAGATCTCGTCCAAGGACGAGAACGAGAGACTGGCAGGGAACGAGAACTTCGAAAATTCTGAAATTTGGAATCTATGATGAATGTATTAACTGGAAGAATTAAAAGAAAGGCTCAGTGGAATTAATCTGATCTTGGAAGTATTCCAGAGATCCAGAAATTAATTCTCCAAAGCTGTTTATTGAATAATACTAATGACCCTTATATAGCTATTACAAGAGTCCTAATTCTAAAAGGAAATAAATGCTAATTAAGAAGTTTCCTAAAACTGTCAGATCACAGATTTCTTTCTCAGCCACTTTGGATTCCAGAATCGTCCTTCCTGATCATCCGATTTCTACGTTGATATTTCCGACCATAGAATTGGTCTGTAACATCACCCCCCCCGTTGACAAAGAGCTTGTCCTCAAGCTCAAAACTGGGAAATCTCGTTTGAAATGAACCCAAGGGCTCCCAGGTTGCCTCATCCAGTTGGTGCCCTTGCCAGTGAACTAAGAGCTCCCATCCCCCTTGAGTAAGTCTACTTCGAATGATTGCAAGTGGAATTGAGGTGCTAAGACTGTTAGGAACTGGCGGAAGAGTGCCCATTGTCGTTGGAGGAGGCCCTTTATGTGGCTTCAAAAGGGAGACATGGAAGACATCGTGTATACGAGCCTCAGAGGGTAATATGAGCTTGTATGCGCTGTTGCCAATGCGTTCCTGCACTTGAAAGGGGCCAAAAAATTTCTGCAATAGTTTGTGATTTTTTTGGCCCAAGGAGAGCTGGCGATATGGCTGGAGACGGAGCCAGACCCATGCTCCGGGTTCAAAGGATAAGTCTCGGTGATGTTTATCAAACTGGTCCTTCATGCGTTGTTGGGCTTGTGCTAGTCGGTCCTTGACACTTTTCAGAAGTTGGTCACGGGCAATGAGCTCCCGATCAACCCCCTCGACCATAGTTGTGCCGGGCATATATGAGAGAATACGAGGCGGATCCCGACCATACACTAAACGAAAAGGGGTGTCCCCTAAGGAAGAGTGGTAAGATGTGTTGTAACAATACTCAACCCATGGAAGCCAACGGACCCATTCCTTGGGATAATCGCTAGTGACACAACGTAAGAACAACCCTACGGTACGGTTGACCACTTCCGTTTGGCCATCTGTCTGCGGGTGATATGCGGATGAATAGGCCAGCTTGGTTCCTGATAATCTGAAAAGTTCGCGCCAAAATGTGCTTACAAATATTTTATCCCGGTCAGAAACAATGGATTCAGGCAGTCCATGAAGGCGAAATATTTCAGCAAAGAAGA